AAGATGCAGGTAATATTTTGAGGGTAAATACTAAAAACACAGAGACAATGAATCACAAATCAGTGAAAGGAGAAAGAGAAAAATAAAAACGAAACAATTTAAAAAAAAATACAGAAAAAAAAAGCATGGAAAACAAAGGACAAATAGAAGGCACAAAACAAGAAGCTTGGGACAAGTCTAGGATTTCTATTTCTGGCTGTGTAAATGATATTCATTTATTTATTTTTATTTTTGAGACAGAGTCTTGCTCTGTTACCCAGGCTGGAGTGCAGTGAAACAATCTCGGCTCACTGCAACCTCCACCTCCCAGGCTCAAGTGATTCTCCTGCCTCAGCCTCCCCAGCAGCTGGGACTACAGGCGCCTGCCACCATGCCAAGCTAATTTTTGTATGTATAAATCATTTGATACCTGAGACGACCTTCTCAATACAAATAAGTAGAAGTTTGGATAAGACAAAAACATATTCTTTAAATGCACAGAATAGCAAATATGAGATGGTATAAGATTAATAAATTCACAGATTCCCCAAAGTTAAGTGAAAGCAGGAATCCAGAAAGACATGGAGACACCAAAGCCAGATTTTACCCTGAAAGTTTCTGTGGGACCCAGAGAACTTAGGCAGCACATTCACCTTTATCCTTTAGCCACTGGACAGGAGTTAAGCATAAGATCCCAAGGTCTGCTCAAGGTGGAGAAATCTAATAGAAGCCATCTATATAAATTTGTGATCTCACAGAGCTACACCCTTAGCCTCAAGGTGAGTGAGAGGCCCACAGTGAAACAGGTTGTCTTACCCTTGGTGCTGGATAAAGGGAGGAAATCTTCCCTGAGGATTTGCATTCATGAATTTGTCCTCATATAGGTTTTTGGACTAAGGTTATATTAGCAAAGTGTTCCAAAAAGACTTCAAACTGATAATTTACAACAGAGCAGTGTTCGCAGCATCCTAAAGCTGCAGACAAAAGCAAACGTTCTCTGGAAGAATGGAACCTCGACTCACACCTCAGAGAATTCCTGGTAACCCAGTTCTAAGAAAGGGAGCAGCTTTCAGCCAAAGGAACATGTGTGAATGAGGACAGAATCAACAGACAATAGAAAGAGATTATCTGGATTATAAGAGAACTTCACTACATTTAAGGAATTAAAGGAAAAGATTGAAATATGAACAGAAAACAGTCTGTTAAGAAGGCCTATGAAGATTTGAAAGAGAACTAAACAAACTTCTAGAACTGAAAGGTATAATAATCAAAAATTTAAAATTTGAACACATTAAAACAAATAACACTACTGAGAAAATCAGTGAATGAGCAAGAGAGATCAATCTATCCAGAATGTAGTACACAGAGGGAGATGAAAAAGACAAAATAAAGGTTGACACAGGAGAGTTGTGTGAGATTTGACATAGTCAACTGAGGTTTCAGAGGGAGGTAAGATCAAGCTGAGACAAAATTTGGGAAAGAATATCAGATCCAAGAAACCTATTGAACAGCAGAATACATAGTGTTTTCTTTTTTATATCTAGACATATAATAAAACTTCAGAATGCCAAAAAGAGAAGATTTTGGTGGCCAGAGAAAAAAGATGGACTAAGACCTAGGAAGAGCTGGCATTTAGATTAATGTCTGACTTCTCAAGGACAGCAATGGAAACCAGAAGACAGTGGAATAGTAGCTTTGGGGTGGTGAGAGCTGACAGTTGGGAATTCTATAATCAGAGTGGAATAGTAGCTTTGGGGTGGTGAGAGCTGACAATTTGGAATTCTATAATCAGAGTGGAACAGTAGCTTTGGGGTGGTGAGAGCTGACAATTTGGGATTCTATAATCAGAGTGGAACAGTAGCTTTGGGGTGGTGAGAGCTGACAATTGGGAATTCTATAATCAGAGTGGAACAGTAGCTTTGGGGTGGTGAGAGCTGACAATTTGGAATTCTATAATCAGAGTGGAACAGTAGCTTTGGGGTGGTGAGAGCTGACAATTTGGAATTCTATAATCAGAGTGGAACAGTAGCTTTGGGGTGGTGAGAGCTGACAATTTGGAATTCTATAATCAGAGTGGAACAGTAGCTTTGGGGTGGTGAGAGCTGACAATTTGGAATTCTATAATCAGAGAGCATTTTCTAAGAATGAAGGCAAAACAAGATAAATAGAAATTGATGATTTTCTGGGTTTGCTAGCCAAAAGCTTTGCTGAAAGGCATTCTTAAAAATGCATTAAGTGAATATTTTTAAATCCAACTATATACTACTTACACCCAAATCATAAGAACTCAAAGACTAAAACAAAATGAAAATTATTAACAAAAAAGAAAATATTAATCAAGTATGATTAATGTTTTCTCTAATCAAATATGATTAATTTAATTTGTTTAAAGAGACTGGGCATAGCTAGTTGATATCCGATTTTTTTAAAAAAGTTGTTTTAAAGGGGAAAAAAAGCATTACTACTGGTGGAGTTTCACTTCAGAATGATAGAAGGTTCAATTCATCAGGAAGATACAAAGTTCTAAAATTTCACTGAAAAGCATAATTAAATTTTCAGAAAATAGAACTGCAAGAGGAGCAAACAAACACATAGTTGAGTATTTTATTTAACACACCTCTCTCAGAAATTAATAGTTCAAGCAGACAAAACATGAATCATGATATAGAAGATTTCACAGCACAATTTGCAAGTTTAGATACATGCAGCATTGTGCACAACAGCTAATGAATGCACATTCTCCCGAGTAGGTAGGGACATTTTCAAGAGCTGATAACCTGTGAGGTCATAAAGCTATCCTCAACAGAAACAAAAGACTGACACCACGGAAACAATGCTCTCTGGCCAAAATGATTAGTTAAGAATTAGTTAAGGCTAAGAATTAGTTAAAACAAAACTAAAAATAAATTTCATATATTTGGGAATTTTGAAAAACACTAAATAATTCACGGGTCAAAGCAGAAGCAAAAATACTATGTCAAAACTTGTGAAATGCTATGGCAGTTGTAGAGAAATTTAATGATTGTTAATGTTTTCATTTAAAAGAAAAAGGGTCAAAAAGGTCAGTGGGTGTTAATCATCCTACATAAGAAACTGGAAAAAATGCCAGCAAATTAACTCCAAAGGAAGTAGAATGAAGGAAGTCAATAATAAAGAAAAAAGCCGCAAGTAATCCAACAGAAAATAAACATAAATGAGAGAATAAAGGACAGGAGTTGGTTGTTTAGAAAAGATGACTAAAACAGACAAGATTCTGAAAAGGTTAAGGAGAAGAAGAGAGAAGACAAGAAATATTAGGATAAAAATACTTAACTATCAACACATCAGAAATGTAATAGGTAAAAATGTACTATAGCCAAATTTAAGCCTATTAATTTCACAATTAAGACATACTGAGATAATTTTAAAAATACAACTTTCCACACGAATTCTAGAAGAAGTAGGAAATTTGTATATTTTTATAATTATTAACAAAATTGGATCCATTAACAGAAACACTCAAAAAAATCTTCAGGCCTATTGGTCTTTACAGAAAAATTCAAGGAACAATTAATTCCAAGATTACACAAACTCTTCCAGAGACTAATGGCCAGTGTAGTCTTAATATCAAAACCAAACAAGAAAGTGGGTAAAAACAAAACCAAAACTAATTCTAAATAAAATATCAGCAAACCGAATCAAGCAGTGCCCTTAAAAAATAGATAATATATTAGCACCTAAGAGTGTTTGTCTCAGGAATCAAAGGATTGGTTTAACATCAGGAAAACAATTCACTGAAATCACTGAATTAACAGTTTAAATGAAGAAAATCATATCACTGTCTCAATAGACGAAGAAAAAGCAGTCAGTGAAAACTCCCTTTTCATGATGAAAAGTTCTGTGTTTCATAATCTGATAGAGGATATTTTTTAAAAAGGAAAAACCCTATAGCAAGCATTATTCTTAATAATGCCATATTGAAAAGATTCCTTTTGCAGCCAATAACAAGACAAAGATACCCTCTATTATATGTTTTACATTATATAGGAAAGTCCAGTGAATATAATAAGGTGAGCAAGAAAAAAAAAAAAGAATATGTTTGGAAATGAAAATAGAAAGCTCATTATTTATAGATGATAGCATTGAAAATTCAAATAATCTACAGAAGTGGTTGAAATTAATAAAAGCATAGGAAGGTTTCTGAATGTAAACTTAATATATGAAAGTTAATAGTATTTCTACATACAAGCCACAATGCGTTCAAAAATAAAACTATAAAATATATCATTTGTAAGAGTAAGATTAAATTACTTTGCATTAGTGTAATAAAATATATGTAAGTAGTACATGGAGAAAAGTATAAAACTTTTTACTGGAAAATGCTAAAGATAGCCTATGTAAATGAAGAGGGTTTTTTTTTTCCTAATCAGGATGAGTTATTCAATATATGGTTTTAGAGATCATATCAAGTTAAAAAGCTTCTGCACAGCAAAGGAAACAAGCGGCAAAGTGAAGAGACAACCCACAGAATAGGAGAAAATAGTTGCCAACTACTCACCTGCCAAGGGATTAATAACCAAAATATGTAAGGAGCTCAAGCAGCTCTACATTAAAAAAGTCTAATAATTCAATTTTAAAATGGGCAAAAGGTTTCAATAGGCATTTCTCAAAATAATACATACAAATGGCAAGAAAACATACCAAAAAGTGCACAACATCACTAATGGATCATCAGAGAAATGCAAAATTAAAACTACAATGAGATATCATCTCACCCTGGTTAAAATGACATATAGTCAAAAGACAGGAAATAACAATTGCTGGCAGGATGTGGAGAAAAGGGGGATTCTTTTCACTGTTGGTAGAAATGTAAATTAGTACGACCACTGTGGAGAACAGTTTGGAGGTTCCTCAAAAAACTAAAAATAGAGCCACCATGTGATCCAGCAGTCTCCCTGCTTGATATATATATATATATATATACCCAAAAGAAAGGAAATCAGTATATCAAAGAGGTATCCACACTCTCTTGTTTGTTACAGCACTGTTCGCAGCAGCCAAGATTTGGAAGCAACCTAAGTGTGCATCAACAGATGAATGGATAAAGAAAATGTGGTACATATACACAATGGAATACTATTCAGCCATAGAAAAGAATGAGGTCCTGTCCTTTGCAACAACGTGAGTATAACTGGAGGTCATCATAGTTAAGTGAAGTAAGCCAGGCACAGAAAGATAAACATCAAATTTCTCACTTATTTATGAAACCTAAAAATTAAAATAATAGAACTCATGGAGATAGATAGTAGAAGGATGGTTACCAGAGACTGGGAAGGGTAGTAGGATACTAGGGGGAGGTAAGGATGGTTAATGGTACAAAAACAAGCAGGAAAAAAAATGAAAAGATCTAGTGTTTGATAGCACAACAGGGTGACTGCAGTCAAAATAATTTAAATGTACATTTTTAAATAATTAAAAGAATATACTTTGAAGTATTAGATTCTAGATAAGGCCTGGGGACATGTGGGTTAGCCATGCCCCTAGCTATGTTGGAAAGAGTCAGACCTTATCTGCACTTTTGTCTGATGTGCTGGGTTCCACACAATCCGTTACTAACCAGGTTTTTCACCAAAAGTAAAAGCTGCTAAGAGTTAACATGGTAACATATATCCAAGACTACTAAAGAAACTGTTCTACATGCAAGGCATGCAAGGAAAGCAGAATATACTTTTAGTAAAAGATTATAAGAAGGCAAAGGAATGTGGATTGCTTGCTTAAGTTTAGAGGGCTAAAAGATTGTTTTAAGTGAGGTAGAAAATATCTAAATGTTTGAACAAGTTGTGGAAGGTTTATAAAAAATTAATTGTAAAAGACATTCTGTGTGTGAACGTATTTGCTAAACTTAAAGGGGTATTCAGTTTTTCTGTAAATTGAATATTAAAATTAAGGTTTTTCTTAGAGCACTGATCGGCTCTAATGAAAATTGTAACGGGTTACGAAAGGTTTATGAGAATCTTATGGTTAAACTGATTAAGATTGGATAGATTTGTCTATAAGGTTTTTTTTTGTTGTTTTTTGTTTTTTTTGAGACAGAGTTTTGCTCTTGTTACCCAGGCTGGAGTGCAATGGCGCAATCTCGGCTCACTGCAACCTCCACCTCCTGGGTTCAGGCAATTCTCCTGCCTCAGCCTCCTGAGTAGCTGGGATTACAGGCACGCGCCACCGTGCCCAGCTAATTTTTTTGTATTTTTAGTAGAGACGGGGTTTCACCATGTTGACCAGGATGGTCTCGATCTCTCGTGATCCACCCGCCTCGGCCTCCCAAAGTGCTGGGATTATAGGCTTGAGTGTCTATAAGGTTTTATTAAGAATTGGGGTTGATGTTAATAGTACACTAATGCAAAGCGTGAAATTTGGCTTATTTATTATAAAGATCACACAGAAAGTATTGTCAAATATGAAATGGTGTTTGGCTTTCTTTGAGCTGTATTTGTATAAATATGTTACTGGTATATGTTCAAAAATAGTGGGAAAGTCCTATAATTCTGATGATTTAGTGCATGTGATCATTAATAATTGTTACACAAAATCATTGTATGTCACAAAGGTAAAAAAGAAGAGAAAAAGAAAACAGTGTAGCATTGCCTGGTAAATAGAGCACATGTCTACCCTCGGGTCTGCAATTTCACTTCTCGAAAATCCTGCACATATGCGCTGGAAGACATTTTCATGGGAGTATTGACCATGCCGGCAAAAATGAATAGATATATGTGTGTGTGTGTGTGTGTGTGTGTGTGTGTGTGTGTGTGTGTGTGTGTATGCTACCAGAGGTAATCCAGATGTCTAATGTAACACAACAGATAGACACATTTTGAGATTGTCACAAAATGAACTATACACTGAAGAAGTTGAATGAACTATAGCTTTACACAATAACATGCACGATCTGAAACCATAAGGGAGAGTGCAAAAGGCAAATTCATGGAGGAGTCAATTCAGTGGGATTGCATTTTTGTAAATTCAAAAAACTAACACTAAACAATACATTGAAGAAGAATACCTGTGTAGGTGGTAAAATGAAAAAGAGAAGCAAGTTAATGAATAAAACTCTCTTGTTATACTGAGATTGTCAGGTTGGATGTTTTAAAAATCCAGTTATATGGTATTTACAAGAGCCACATATAAAACAGGAAGGCATTAAAAAAAAGCTGAAAATAAAGGGATGAATACAGACACAGACAAATAGTAGACATTGTCCAATTCACATTCTCTGCTTAGCTTGGTACTAAATATCCAATTCATTTCATTTTCTCTACCTTAAAAATGTAGATAATGTTCTCATTGTTATGGATAAGGAGACCTAGATTAAAGCGATTAAGTAACCTACCCATAGTTTCCAAACTGGTCCCTAATAGAAGTGCTATTCACACCTAATTCTCTTTCCACAGTACCAAGTTGCTCCTCCTCAGACACAGCTGACCCTATCTCAGCATTCTTGGAAGGTTGAGGGAGAGTAACAGAGGGACAAAATTTTATCTGAAAATGTTGGGCTGTATGGTTGTCACACCTATTGACACAAGTAGGGATGGACGTAAAAGCACAAATAATTAAAAAGGCCTTTTTGACAGGAAAGGGTGGCTCCTACAGCCAAGGTGAGTCTGTGGCCCAAAAAGACAGCAGTAGGAGAACAAAGTATTGGTGCACAGGGGGCAGACATAGAAATGGGACTCCAGCTTCTTTTCCTACAGCAGCAGTGCTCTAAGTTTTTGATATTAGAAGTCTTTTACACTCTTAAAGATTACTTAGACCCTAAAACACATTTGTTTACATGTATGTCAAATAGTGTAGTCCAATAAAGTATATACTAGTATATTCTACGCTATGTTAGAAATTACAGCTGATACTTTTAAAACATGAGAATACACAACACACATTCCATTAACCTTCAGCTAAGATGCTGAGAGTGTAATATCTCATTTTTTTGAGAAATTTTGGTAAGAGATGTAAGAACATTAAAATTAATGCCTTTTTCCGTGAATCCATCCAAGAGTCTAGCATAAGGAATAATGAAACAGTTCCTGTGGGTGTGTGTGTGTGTGTGTGAAAGAGAGAGAGAAGACAATTCTCAAAGGAAGCAACAAATATGACAACAGTAAGTGATAGATTGAATGTACCTGGTAATATAGAGTAAAATGCTTATGTTGCATTCTGGTTCCACCACTTAGGAAAATTAACATCGATGTCCTCATCTGTAAAATGGGAATAATTACAATACCTGCTTCATTCATATGGGTGATGTGCATATACAATGAGATTATCCATACCAAATACTTAGCACAGTTCCTGGCATGTAATAAGTGCCCAATAAATGTTAAATATTTTTACTACCATTGCATGTTAAATAGCATTCAGTTATGCAAGCAATTAGAATGTTACAGAATTAAAATTATTTACATGAAAACACATTCACAGTTATTAAGTAAAATGTTAACAAGACAGCATATACGACCTTTTATTTTTGTAAAGAACAAAATTTATCAAAAATTCTGCAAAAATATACATATGTTTTCTAACAGTGAGGATTACAGGTTACTTGTATCTTTTTTCTTTTTTGTATATTTTTCTTCTCTGGAGGTAACTTGTGTAATAAAGTGTTTTTCTTAGGAACTGCACGTTATCATTGCTGACACAAGAGGGCGCAGTAGGACTCTTGTGAGGTTTTTTTCTGGAGCAAAAGCCGACGGTGTAACCCTCTGTGAGCTGTCCAAGGTCTGAAGAAGGCAAAGCATTAATCCAGAACACAGAATGAAAGAATAGTTGTTTTCCACCCCCAAACAAAGTAACAAGCAAATATGTGCACTTTAGGATCTACTGAAGTCAGGATCCCCTCCCAAATCATTTTTATCAGATTCTCTGGAGATGGGTCCAGACATAAGCATTAAAATTTATTTTTAAAATCCCAGTCTATTCTAATGTGCAGCCAGGGTTTAGAATCCCTGATGCATAAAGGAACTGAAAGCCACCTGACCACAGGCACCATGTATAACTGGCAGGGGTCAGGCTTGTCTCTTTCATTCCCTCAAAGATCGGGTTGAACTGCCGGCGACTCTCCATGTGCCTCCTGCTCCATACTCACATTAGTGAACCTCCTTCCCCGCTCTGTAGACTTCTCTGGCAAAGACACTGACTGCCCTGCCTCCTCCACGCAACCCTGAAGCACAGAGCAGGGCTAGAGCAGAGGGGCTTGAGGTTACAGTCCATTGTGGTTCATTTAGCTGTTCTTCAAAATGAGTGCCCCACAACTCAGAGGCCTCCTTATTCCATACCGCAGTCTCCCCCATGCTGGAGGACGCTCAGTGTTGATGATGAAGCACCACACCCCAAGATTCCCTGCAGCCAGCTCTCAACAAGGTCTGCTTATGTGGGACAGGAGGTTGGGGTGGAGGGAGTTCTGCACCTGATTTCTTATGCTGCACGACTGGGGGCTGGAGTAGAGAACTAGAGCTTCTCAGGAAGCAGAGAGGAGAGGAGAGAGCTTTGCCAGCCCCTGCAGGACTGGGAATCCTCTGCCCAACGAGAGTCAGATGTCTCTGCTCCTCTTCACTCCCAATGTCCTTCAGGCCACATTCGGGCGGGTCCTTGGCATCTTGCCAGGTTTACAGCTCACCCGGGTGTGAGTGACTGCAAAAGATTATCCTCATGGACAGCTCAAATGTCCTGAGGAATGTGATCCCCTCATTCTCCGAGTGTTTTGGGGTGGAATCACAATCTCTTTGGGAGTTTTCAAAGGACCGAATGTGGAATGCAAGAAGGATACAACCACAAAATGACTTAACAGGGATTTCCATTCTGTACTGCGATGCTTTTCTATTCTCTTCTCTTCCCCTAAACACATCCCGGTTACTACTGACTAAGACAAAGAGGAAGAAGTGAAAGCAAGACGCAGTGGTAGTTAGAATTAGTGAAGAGAGATTTTCCCAGAAATCCCCGCACAATGTGACTGGTTGCATCAATGGAGAAAAAGGAGGCAATTACTTCAGATGATGCACTCTTGGGGGCCACTTCCATTGAGCCTATTAGAAATATATGATGACCCACCACTTGAGAAACAATGGGGAAAGTAAGCTCTATGCATACCCAAATTATATTTTAATAGAACTGTTTTGGTTATCTTTTGCTGTGTAGCACAACGGCCCACATTTTGTTGGATTAAGGTAGTCATGTATTCTTTCTCACCATGCTGCAGGCTGGCTGGGGGGGGGGGGTCAGTCTGCTAACCTTCTGGGTGCATCTGGACAAACAGGTCTTTCAGTCTTTTGGACTTTCATCTTGGGCTTCTTTCTGATATGACAGTCTCAGGGCAGCATCCCCAGGGGGCAAAAGCAGAAAGTAAAAGGCATTTGAACATGACACTCACTGCATTCTAGTAGTCAGGGCAAGTCACAGGCAAGAATAGATTTCATTCCTGATAAAGGAAGCTGAAAACCATTTGTGGTTATCTTTAACACATCACAGCATTTCTCATCCTGAATACCAACTGACATTTTGGGCCAAATAATTCTTTGTTGGGTGGAGGGGAGAGGGCTGTCCTGTGTATTATGGTGTATTTAACAGTATCCTGGCCTCTACCAATTAGACACCAGAAGCAAGAGCAAGTGCATGCATGCACACACACACACACTCACAGTTGTGACAACCAAAAATATCTCCAGACATTGCCAAGTGTTCCCTGGGGAACCAAAAATCACCCCTCATTGAGAACCACTGATGTACAGTAAGTGTGGGTTTATTTTAGGTGGGAACTCTGGTACTTGGTATCAACACCCGCCTTTTCAGATCAACACTGACTCAAATCTGCTTGGATAAATTTATAACCTTACGTGGACTAACTTACTTGGCTGGAATAATAAGTTCACATGCCGACTTGCGGGTGGACTCCATACTTCTCTGCTGAGGAATAAGAAGTCAGTCCCCCATCACTGAATGTGGACACTCATGGGCCTTGGGAAGCAGTCAACTTTTCTTGTTTTGTTTCCCACAGTTACATTTACTGACTTGCATCTGCCTCCATGAAGGTGGGACATGGTCGTGGTGGTCAGTTCCAAAGAGAAGGAAAAGAGTTTCCACATGTGGATGGGGATGGAAGAGACACTGTGCAATTTGTTGGGATTTATCTCACTTTTGTTCACACAAAGTAGAAAAATCTAGGCCAGACACAGTGGCTCATGCCTGTAATCTCAGCACTTTGGGAGACCAAGGCAGGTGGATCAAAATGTCAGGAGTTCGAGACCAGCCTGACCAACAAGGTGAAACCCCGTCTCTACTAAAAATACAAAAAATTAGCCCGGCAGTGTGGTGTGCGCCTATAATCTTAGCTTCTCAGGAGGCTGAGGGAGGAGAATCACTTGAACCCAGGAGGCAGAGGTTGCAGTGAGCCGAGATCGAGATCATACCACTGCACTTTAGCCTGGGTGTCAGAGTGAGACTCTGTCTCAAAAAAAGAAAAGGAAAATCTATCATCTGTGCCATTCCTCAAATCACACAGTTTTGGTGTAATATTTGTGGAGCAGCATTCCTCACAGATGCTCTTTATTATTTAAACAATCATTTCTTCCCAGCAATTATTCATTTTCAGGTTTTTCTTCTACTTCATTGCTCTTTTCTCCCAAAGATGTGAGATGCAGTAATCATTACAAAATAACAAGAACTCTTAATATCTTCAAATACCAGATGTGTTCTGGCTTGAAAATGTCATGTCTGCCCATGCTATAACCACCTGGCATTTCTCCATCTGGTTGGGGCCATTTGTGATGATGATAATCTCAGCTGAGAGGTGTTGCTGACACCATTATTTCTTGAAAGAGACTGAAGAACCCGGCTTCTTTATGTTCAGAAAGCATCCCATTTTGTTGTCTCAGTTCTTTGATGTTGCCAGGAATCACTGAACTGTGAGAAGCTGAGAGAAAATTCATATTCCACAGAAAAACAATATTTTTGCTGAAAGCAGAAGCACAGTATTGGGGTAGAACTTTTGTTTATGGAACTGGATACACGTGGAGAGACCAACAATGAAAACCACCGTGAAGACTGTGTCCAAATATTTCATCCCATGGCCACATCTTTTCACTGCCTACTTTATCAATAAAGGGCTTCAAATATTTATTTTTTTACTGAACAAGAAACTGAATTTGAGGAGCTGGCACCAGGTCGCACAAGTTGTCTCTGATGCTGACACAGTTACAGTATTGCCTTCACAGGTCTGATGCATTGCTGCCAGAGTTTAATTGGAATGTATACATGAAAAACAGAGACTCTTTTGACTGTCTATAAATAATCACAACAGCAGAAACGCAGCAGCTACAGAAATAGTTACAGAAAATAAGAACTTCCCTTTGAAAACTGCAGGCTTTTTTTTTCTTTTCTTTCTCTCTTTCTCTTTTCACCTCACCCTCTCATCAACTCTTCCTGTGGGTTCATCTCTCTGCTTCCTTACACCTGGAATTATCTCCAAATCTAGGTTTGCCATTCTGTCCATACACTATGTGCTCACCTCTGTCTTTTTCAATATTAGTCTATTTAGGCAGCATTTGCCTTGGTTTTCAGAAATTCTGGCTCATGTGATTCAAAACTTTATTTCCAGTAACATGTTGGTTTAGGTTAACTCCATGGGACAGAGCATGCAGGTGTATTGAAATTGCTAAACAGGTGCTCTTTACCTTCTCAGGGGTGCTGTGCTGCACCCCATGCCATTCACCCGGCTGTAATATATGTGTGTGCGGTTAAAGGAGTTAAAGGTGGATCCTCAAAACTCACATACTATTATAATACTTGCAGAACTCAAGGACCCAGTGCCAATGAAAATATGTTGATTAAAATTAAGTTAACATTTAAAGATCTCCAGGCTGATTCAGAGTCCCTGATCTTTAAGCAAAGTGTGGGCTTCAGTTTTGCACTGTGTGCTTTTCGAGCAGGTAAGGAGTCTAACGTTTAGCTGGTTGAGGTTATTTCAGCCAAACTAGCAGGCTAAGGCATTCATACTACCAGCCCTCAACACTTGGCCAAGAAGGCATTTGTGAAAGAAGGCGATGAACAATCTGCATGCAAATCCTTATCTCGGGCTCCGTTTTCAAGGGGTTACCAAAATGAAGATAGTCATAGTCACTCCGCCAACCAAAAGCTGTGGACTATATCACCCTCCCACCCCTACAGCAAAACAAAGATAAAGAAAGCAGTTGATTTACACCCAGCCAGAGAGGCTCACTTGCTGGGTAATAAGCAACGGACAGCAGGCATTTTGCTTTCTGTCTACTGGAAGAAGTTGAGTTTCCTGGAAGAAGCAAAACTTTTTAGCAATGAATGAGTGTGGGAGATTTGCATTACGTGCTTGAAGCAATGGTAAGACAAAAGGCAAAGTCCTTTTGGCCATTGGTAGTGAGAGATGTGGGCACTACACCAGGATGATGAAAAAAGAATTAAGAGAGAAACAATTTACCTAGCCACAAATAGTTTTGGAAAAATTATCAGTATCAAAGTGGATTGCCAATGTCAAGCCCTAACAGATGAAGCCAGGGGGCCATGAAGGAGCGATCTCTCGCATGCCTGCCTGTGATGAGAATTGTGCAAGGAATTCCTCAAAACTGCAGTGTTCCAGATAAGCCTGTTGCACA